CTGCGACAGCAAGCAGAAGCGCCAGGGAGGGGGGGGAGGTTGTGATCTCCCCAGCCCCTCAAGTCCCTCCGTATCGCTGGAGATGCGCATGACACCATGACCGGATGGGAGATGCCTGCGATGATGAGATGTGTCTCCTATTTTCGGCGGCGAGCCTGAGGGGGGACGTGCGAAAAAAAAAGCCTTCTCAGAAGGCTCGGAAGTCCCGGCCTTCCGAGAAGTTTTGTGAGCCTTCCCCAAAAACACAGAGAACTGATATGTGAAAGCCTTCTCCTTCTCGCTTCCCCCCTCGCTCGCCACCGATAGCCGTATGTACAACGCTTCAACCGTCGGCGACCGGTCGACCGGAGGGAGCCCGCCAGCCTTCGCCTCGAGCCGCGACGGGCGATAGACGCGGCATCGCGCAAGGGCAAGGGACACAGCTCGCAACATCGCGCTCGAGGATTGGAGAGGGACGGAGGGGGGGAGGGGCAGGGAGAAGAGGGGGGAGGGGAGGAGGGGGGGGGCAGGCAAGCGAGGTGCGCTCGCGTCATATCTGACGTCCTACCCTTCCCTCCCATCCCTCACCATGGCGTGGATCTCCTCTCTATTCGCACAATCGGATGTCGCAGCAAGGCATAACATTACATGGCATAGCATGGTGTTGAACATCATCGCGTAGCATGACATAGCATGGCGTGGCGACGCCCCAAAGTGGGGGGGGGCTTCTGCGGCCCCAAAAATCAACGAGTCGACACTGGATGTGTAATCACTTCCGACGGTTTTGTAGGGAGGCATTTTTTTAGATTTTGGGGCCTATTTGGAAGGACCGAAAACTATGCCGTGGCATGGCACTGGAAATAATGGCGCCAGCGCTGCAGCGGGAGCACGATTCGGGACGAGCGGAAGCGCGGAAATGAAGTCAACGCTGCAGCGGGAGCACGATTCGGAATGAGGCGAAGCGCGGAAACAAGGCCAGCGCTGCAACGGGAGCACGATTCGGAACGAGCGGAAGCCCGAAAATGAGGCCAGCGCCACAGCGAGAGAAACATTTTGAAACAAAAAGAGAGCATGATCGACCCACGAACCCGGAAAGGAATATAGAAATGTAAGGCATGGCAACGTTTCAAAGACACCTGATGGGGCGACGGGCAAATGCAATGCTGAGTGTATCGACCTTGATATACCGTGCCGAGGGCTGTGCTGTGCTGCGCCATGCTGAATTGCGATGTGCCATGCCGCGATTATGCTTTTTACAGCGTTGTGGATCGAGTCCTCCTTTGCATCCGAGTCCTGACCGAACTGTTCTGGATCTTAAGCTCGAGCTGTCTGAGCACATAGTAGCTGCCCCAGAGCTACTTGACAAGGGGACATGCCAGGAGGACGCGCCAGGCGACGTGCCAGGGGACGTGCCATGGGGACGCACCGCGGGACGTGCCAAGGGGACGCGCTACGGAACGTGCCAATGGACGTGCCACGGGACGTGCCAGGGGACGCGCCGCGCGACGTGCCAAGGGGACTCGCCACGGGACGCGCCACGGAACGTGCCAAGGAACGTGCCAAGTTGCAATGATGAGTGAATCAATCTTGATGTACCGTGCCCAGGGCTGTGCTGTGCTGCACCGTGCTGAATTGCGATGTGCCATGCCGCGATTGTGTCGTGGATCGAGTCCTCCTTTGCATCCGAGTCCTGACCGAACTGTTCTGGATCTTAAGCTCGAGCTGCCTGAGCACATAGTTGCTGCCCCAGAGCTAATTTACAGGGGGGCATGCCAGGACAACGCGCCGCGGAGCGTCCCAAGGGACGCGCCAGGCGACGTGCCAAGGGGCGTGCCATGGGGTCGCACCGCGGGACGTGCGAAAGGGACGCGCTACGAGACGTGCCAGGAAACGCACCGCGCGACGCGCAGCGTTTCGCTCAACACATCCCCAAGACACCCTCATGCTAGACATCCGCCCAGGCGAACTGGACACGTGAACAAGAGTGGTTCGTTCGAGACATCCTCAACACATCTTCATGTTAAAAGTCCGCCTGGGTGCATTGGGGTCGCGCTCCCAAGGCCCCGACCCCTCGTAAATTATGCTGCGTCCGCGCCCCCAAGGCCACGATCCCTCGTATTCTACGCTGCGCCCGCGCTCCAGGGGCCTCGATCCCTCGTAAATCACGCTGCGTCCGAGCTCCCAAGGCCCCGACCCCTTGTAAATTACGCTGCGCCCGCGTTCCGAGGACCGCGATCCCTTGCAAATCCCGCGTGGTCCGCGCTCCAAACGCCACGACCCCTCGTAGATTACGCAGCGTCCGCGCTCCCAGGGCCTCCTGGGACATGCTGGGGCGCCCAGGTCTCTCAAGTTTTGCCAAACAAGCGTTTCGCTCGAGACATCCTCGATGTTTTGGCGCGGGGGGCGCACCATCCTCGAGCGGGCACGCAGAAACTCTTGCGTGGCCAAGGAAATCCTGGAAAAACTAGCGAATTAGTCGAGACATCCTCAAAATTCATGCGCGCGGGACGCGGCACGCGCGAGACATCCTCGGAATTCCTGCGCGCGGGACGCTTTTCCGCGTCGCGGTCGGGGCTCCAGACCTCGTCTGTTTCGATGATTATGCTAAACATGCCCCGCACCGTCTTTATCACGAAGGAAAACGGTGGTCCGCGGACCCCGTTATCTATCGAGGATCCGAGGTGGGGGTCAACTTTCTTCGAGCGGGCACGCGCGACACGCATTTTTTCCGGCCGATTTTGACTTTACCTTGTTTTTTATCGAGCGGACATCAGCCGGCCTTCTTCAACTCAAAACCGGGGGTAAACACACTAAAAGAGAACCCTGGGACGGCGCCCACGGCACCGCATTAACATTGAAATCGGGGGTGTGGGGCGTGTGTGCGTGTGTGTGTGTGTGTGTGTGTGTGTGTGTGTGCGTGCGTGTGCGTGCGTGCGTGCGTGCGTGCGTGCGTGCGTGCGTGCGTGCGTGTGTGTGTGTGCGTGTGTAGAAAACACAAATTGTTTTTTTGCACGGGGGGGTAAGAGAGCCCCAAGGGCCTCCAAAATTGCCCCAAGACCCCCAAGATGGCCCAAATAAGCTGCCAAGATGCTCCCATATCGAAAAATCAACGAAGGCTTCATGGCTGAATCCTGGGCTTGCTTAGGCTGATCCAGAGCTTCGGTTTGACGTTTCCACCCCAATCCTCATTGGTTGGGTATTCGTTTTGAATAGAGCGCCGCGGTCGCGTCTTCCTCGTCCTCCCGCCTCCTGCACCCCGCCTCCTGTGTATGGGGTTGAAGTACAAGGATACAGAACCCCTGATCCGCTGGTAGAGGGAAGGAGGGATAGATGGATGTCTTTCCCTCCTGCACGATCAAAGGTCTGATCGATCTGTCCCAAGCGTACTTGGGAAGTCCCAATACCTGAGCCCAAACGGCCAGGTGCAGGAGAGGTGAGGATAAGGAGTATATATGAGGGTATTACACGGGTTCAATTCACACCCCCCGTCCCGAATCCCGCCCGCGAGGGTAGGACTCGGGAACAGAGGAAGAGAATCCGTCACCCATTTACTCCTCAATCCTCAAGTGTATCAGGCAGCTGGGCGCCAATCTGTATAGCCTCAGCTGCAAGGCAAGGTAAGAAGGAACACCCAGGGCCCCGATTTCTTCGCCAAGCACGCTTTGGTGCCCCCTCGGTGCGCCCCCCAAAACGCTTCGGCACTCGAGGGCGGAGAAGAATGAGACACGGGTGGGCGGAGAAAGAGGATCTGAGCAAGTTAAAGCAGCATCATAATCTGCCTCGCCTAAGCGAGGCAGGTGTTGCCACCAGCTGTCAGATCATGCTCAACGCAATGGAATCGGGCTCTAAAGTATATGCATTCTGAGATCGTGTTGATGAGCACGATCGTGTTACGAAGCGCGTCTATATATCAAAGCGGATGTCTGGCCAGACGAAAGGTCGCGTTGATGAACACGAAGAGTTGCATGTATATAAATTCTCTATATGGCGACTCCCGTTGGCGTTGCTCCTTAGGAGGCTGCCTTGGTTATCGCAAAATATGTGTGTATGTGTGGCCACTTGTGTTGTATAGTGAAGTGGCCTAGAAGTATATAATGGCCACCGCTCAAGGCGAATTTGTATTATAATGAAGTTCAAGCCTTTCGAGCGGTGGGCCTGGCGGCCGACTCACTACGTGTTGCCGTTCTCGTAGAACCTGCGGTCCCACTTCCTGTGGCCATCGTACGTCACGTAGCTCGTCGTGAACGCCCCACAAGATGTCCTCGGGATCCAGTGGCGAAACCACTTGTTGTACTGGATGTCACGGATGTATACGAACTCGTCGTTGTTGAGCGCTATATAGATCCAGCAGTTGATGTAGTAGCTCCAGTACCTGAGGCCCCAACGGCTGTCCTCCAGGTCGTCGCGCCACCAGGCGGCGTAGTCTGTCGTGCGCGCCCTCTTGGCGCGAGGTCTGTAGCTGTCATCGCTGTCCTGCCGCTGCGCTGCAGTGCCGCGCGGCCCCGCGGGCGCGTGGTCTTCCGCGCCAGAGGCGCTAGACCGTGCAGCATCGCCAGGGGCAGGGCGCGGCGGCGGCGGATGGCGCGGATGGCGTGGCTCCATGGCATCATCAGAGCGCTGGGAGTACGTATCAGGTTCGATCGGATCGGTTCTCATCCCTGAATCAACCCCCCTCTGGTCGGTGGAACCCAAGGCAGAACCCATCAACCCGTGAGCAAGCGCGGCAAGCTTGCGCTGCATGACTTTCTCACGGGCGCCATCCCTCCTGGGGAGGGCAATCGTGACAAGTCCGCGTGCCTGCCGCGTGCGTCTGTCGAGTCTGCCTTCGTTCAACCACCATTTCTTCCGACCGGCTTGGCCAGTCCTGATGCTGGTCTCGAGGATTTCACATGCATCGCGCATGTCCTCAACGGTCCAAGCCTTCTTGCCCACATTAACACGGGCGCCTGTCATTTGGTGGTGAAACTTCAAATCCTTGAGAAAGCGCTGAACGAGATTGGCATATGGATGGTATAGAGGTC